TTACAAGAGCTCTGTCGGCATTTCATTTTTTCGAGGATGTCTCGGGCGAAACGCCCATTTTCGAGGATCCGAAAATTAGGCGAGCGATTTCGAGATCCCGATGTTTGGAGGATGTCCCGGGCGAAACGCCCATTTTTAGCAAAAGTCGTCTTAAGATACGACCCCCCAACTTCACGATTTTGGGAGGATGTCTCGAGCGAAACGCTCGTTTTCAAAACCTTTCTTGACATGAGCGGGAAGCGCGTGAAATCGAAGAGCTTGGCAAGAACGTGCAACAACAATAAAGTCACATGTCACGTAGGCGCTCTCCCCAAACGTTCACAGCGGGTACCAGGTGGAGTTCACTACCCGCGCAAGTTCAGACGTGGCGCTCACCCCGAACGTCCACAAAGGGTACCAAATGGAGTTCACTACCCGCGCAAGTTCAGACGTGCCGCTCACCCACAACGTCCCCAAAGGGACCAGATAGAGTTCACAACCCGCGCAAGTTCAGACGTCGGCCGCTCACCCGTAAACGTCCACAAATGTACAGATGGAGTTCACGACCCGCGCGAGTTCAGACGTGCCGCTCACCCCGCACGTCCACCAAAGGCACCAGATGGAGTTCACTACCCGCGCGAGTTCAGAATTGGCGCTGACACCCACGGCGAGATCATGATCATCATCACCGTCGTCGTCATCATCATCATCATCATCATCATCATTGTCATTGTCATCATCATCATCACCACCACCACCACCACCATCATCATCATCATCGTCGTCGTCGTCGTCATCATCCTCATCCTCATCCTCGTCCTCATCCTCATCCTCATCCTCATGATCATCATCATCATCATCATCATCATCATCATCATCATCATCATCATCATCATCATCATCATCATCATTACCGTCATCAACCTCATCGCTATCATCAGGGAGGGCTGAACTCGCGCGGGGAGTGACCTCCACCTGCTGTGGGCGAGTATTTTCCGAGGATGTCTCGAGCGAACCGCTTACTTTTGAACAACAATATTGAAAAAAACAATGGTTGTTCAATGATTTTGCCTTTGGGGCCATCTTGGAGGTCCTCCAAGAACATCTCCCAAAGATGCCGTACAACAGCTACTTCGGCATCTCATTTTTTGGAGGATGTCTCAAGCGAAATCGGCATTTTCGAAGATCCGAAGGTTTCACCAACGATTTCAACATCTCAATGTTCTGAAGATGTCTCAGGCGAACCGCTCATTTTTGACATAAGAGGTCGGAACGCAGCTTTTTCGACATCCCACTTTTTCGAGGATGTCTCAGGCGAGAGCCCCATTGTCGAAGATCCGACGATTTCGCGTCCGATTTCAGCATCCGCATGTTGTGAGGATGTCTCAGGCGAAATCGTCATTTTTTACATAAAACGTCTTAAACGATAGCCTCCGACATCTCAATTTTGTAAGGAAGTCTCTGGCGAAATGGAGATTCTGGGGGACCTTTCCTGACATGAACGGGAAGCGCGTGAAAGCGAAGAGCTGCGCAAGAACGTGCAGCATGATCAAGATCAAATATGTACTGTGGGCGAACTCTCCGAACGTCCACGGGGGATACCTATGGACACGCGCTCCCCGAACATTCACAAGACTGTTCTGATTGTCTTCCTCACTCCTCCGCACTCCTCCAGCTTCCTCCGTCTCCCCGTCGCTTTCACCGTCATCGTTATCCTCATCATCGTTACCATCACCATCACCAACACCATGACATCATCATCACCATCACCATCATCATCACCATGAAGACCGAGGAGGAGGAGGACGAGGAAGAGGAGGAACAGGAGCAGGAGGAGGAGGACAAGGAGGACGAACAGGATGAGGAGGAGTTGGAGGAGAACGAGGAGGAAGAGGAGGAAGAGGAAGAGGAGAAGACCGACGAGGAGGAGGACGAGGAGGAGGAAGGAGAAGTAGGAAGAAGGCGAGGAGGAGGAAGATGAGGAAGAGGACGAGGAGGAGGAGGACGAGAAGGAGGAGGAGGAAGAGGAGGAAGAAGAACAGGAGGAGGAGGAGGATGAGGAGGAGGAGAAGGTGAAGGAGGAACAGGAGGAGGAGGAAGAAGAGGAGGAGGAAGAGGTAATTGTGGGAGGACGTCTCGAGCGAAACGCTGATTTTTCAACGAACGTGTGTAAACCACATGGTTTTTCAATAAGTTCGCTTCTTGGGCCACCTGGGGGGTCATCCGACATCGCTCCGAAAAGATGCCTTGCAAGAGCTC